GATAAACCCCTTTGGCAAAGAGGTGATGAACATACCTCTAGAAACCTACACCCCATCTCTGACTTTTGGTTAACTCTCATAACAAATTAATTACAATATTAACAATAAATTATAATATTAATAATTAATATTATTAATGGTATTCTTAACCCAAAACATAATATATATGCTAATGATAATGCTTAGAACAAGTCAAGAACAATATGACACCTAAATAGGCTTCAATCGATCCCAATTTTCCTTACACCCTACTTATTGTTGGGTCACTCAAGCTGAAACATAATGGACTTAGCTACTGGCAAGCTAAGCCCTAATGACTTAATAAATACCCTTCCTCTTTATATTCTCAAACGCACTTTTATATATATATATATATATATATATATATATATATATATATATATATATATATATATATTAAACGATATTATGCACCAGTGTATTACAAAACTCATCAGTAGGTATGTACTAATAATATTTAAAATCATGATTAGGAGGGTCAATTTTGGGGTATGATACACTCCTAAGAGTGCGAAAGTATCATGAATCCAAAACCCTCACTTCAAATACGCCCAAAAAGGGTTAGCTTACACCTGTTTAGGCGAGGTGACAGTATCGGTGTGGCCGCTAAGAGAGAACTGTTCTTTTTATTCTCTATGGTGCATGATTCGCCAGTGAATGTCGCTGCCTTTGTGGCTGATCACTTAGGGAAAGTAGGGCGCGCCACCTCCTGTGACATTTCGGTTGGCAGCATGATAACTCAAATTGCTGAATATTATGGGTGTAAAGCGGTATTGGATGGAGAAACCCCGGTGGCACCTTTGAGAAAAATTGACATAATTGCTCTTATCCAGCAGGGTACGATTGAGGTTAAGAGAGATTGTTACGCTCTAATGAGTCATAAGAGATGTATTCTGAAGTTGCCTAACTATGCTAAAATTAGTATTTCTGACTATGCTAACTGGTTATATGTTGTTGTCGTACCAGAAGAAGGGGATGGCGACCAAGCTGGTGATTTTGTGGCAGGTAATGACATGGAGGAAAATGCTCCCGCTCATGAGCAGTTTGTACCTACCCACAATGACTCGACCCAACAAGGTATCGGGTCCTCTTCCATTTATCATGATCAATGGGAATGGGTGCAGACAGAGATGGGCTATCTATGCACAGAGCAAACCAGACAAGGTGTAGAGCTTTTCAGGCACAGTGAAGAGCTATTGAGGCAGGGACTGGGGTAGACCCAACAAGGGACTGCTATTGATGAGATGCATTCTATGATGCAACACTTGATGTTGCACTTTCCACACCCTCCTCTTCCTCAGTAAGCATTGTGAGTTTCCCCATACTATCTTAGTTAAAACATTGAGGCCAATGTTTAGTTCAGGTGTGAGGGGGGATTTATTTATTGCATTTATTTATTGCTTTTGTTAGTTTTGGTTGAGTATTTTATTTCTTTTTGCATTGTTTATTTTTTTTATCATTGATTTTTTGTTGAGTCATTTAGTGCAAGATAATGGTATTGTATCTAGACAACTTATGAGAGCTAGTGATAGTGGATGAAAGATCACTCCATTTATTGTGCTCGTTGTGAAAGACCCCAGAAAGTTTGTACTACTTAGGTGAATCATTGGATGCGGCTTTCCGACACTGGACTGATACGGGAGTATTATGCACCCGAGAATGAGACGAAGCTACATTACACTAGAGGTATTTTGGAACCTGTGAGCTATACCAAATATGGTAAGGATCATAAAAACCCAAACACAATATCATCATGAGAGTTCTTCAGGTATGTAATTGTCACTCTTAGTTTGCGTAAGTATTTGTTGGAATTTCTATGCATACGTAAACACACTGAGGCACTAGTTTGTTTTTAACCTCGAGCCTTTCCAGCCAACCATTTGATGTTATCCTTCGTTAACCCCACTCGGGCCTTGTTCCCTTTTGTTTGTTTGTTAACCACATAATTTAACCACGAGTCTAAACACTCCCTCACCCTTTTTAGATAAGTGTTGTTGATTTCTGATATGTGAAACATCTTAAGTTTGGGGTTGGCACACCGAAAATAGTTAGAGAAAAAATAGGTAAGTGCAATAAAAAGAAAGAGAAAAATTGAAGAAAAAAAAAAGAGAAAAGAAATGAGAAGTAGAATAAAACATTTACCTAGAGGAAGATTTAGTTTGAAAAGAAAGCAATGCTCAAAGAAACACTTGAGTAGGAAATAAAGAATCATAAGAGAACGGTGTTCGATAATCGTGATTGTGAACAATATAAATAACATAATAATGAAAGTAGCAGCACTGACTCTATCTAAAAAACACTCGTTGTCCTTTTTGTTTGTTTGTCCACCTTGTCCCTAAGCCCCGTTGCAACCGTAAAGGCCCTAAAAAAGTGTGTGTGGTGTGTGTATGAGATGAAAGATAAATTTTATTCAAGTTTATGAGTTGACTTTGCATGAGTTGATTATTGAGTGTAAACTCTTTAACCCGGGAGATTTGGCGAGAGTGTGAAAAGCTTACAGGTAAAGAGATACCATGATGTGGAAGTGTAATGGAACATCAAATATCGGGGAAGAAGGAAACGTTGAAAGGAAAGTGAAAAGAGAGTCATGAAAGATCGAGGTGGTATAGTGGTAAGTTGAAATTTGGGGGTATCCGATTCTATTTGTCCTGAACATTGCTTGAGGGCAAGCAACAATCTAAGTTTGGGGTTGTGATCGGTCACCATTTTCATCATGTTTTTGTTACTTGTCTAATGATAATCCAAGTATTCTGCATTATTTTGTGTCGTATTTTGCTTCTCTTTGAATGATTTAATAATTCTTAAGTTTTTCCGCATTTTATGTTTTCATAAGTTTATTTCAAGTTATTTTCTATTTTATGCTTCGATTGATTGTTGCTACTGTTTCAGGTGTAGGTGAAAGATCCAATGGACTCGGGACGAGAAGAGTCAAGAAATCGAGAGTTTTAAAGAAGTTTTCAGCAAGCAAGTCTGACACGGTCACCTGTGTCACCTGACACGGTCACCCGTGTCACCTGACACAGACCGTGTCAAGAAAATGAATCAATTAGAGGACAAAAACCAGATTCTCAACACGGACGCCCGTGTCAAGTGACACAGACCAAGTCAGTCATCCTGGGAGTTGAAGTTTTTGAATGTTGATTGGTGACCAACACGGCCACCCGTGTCACCTAACACGGGCCGTGTTGGTCTGTGCGCTGATGATTTCTGATTTTGTTTATATTTTCCTAAGTGTGACTCGGAATGGCGTTTCAGACTTTTCAGATGAGGAACAAAAAATTTTCATTACTTGAGGCAGTTTTGACGACCTAGACAGACTTTTTGGAAGAAGAGAGATTGGTATGAGAGACTTTGGATGTTTTTCAAGAGCTTTGGAACGGAGATCCCTTCATGAGCAATAGCAATTAAAGATCGAAGAATCCATCTTTTGTGTAATGTTTAATTTTATCATTGTTTTTCTTTTGAATACTATGAGCGGCTAAACCCCCAATGTTAGGGGTGTCCCTGATTTGTCTATGTAACAATATTGAATCCCTTGTTTTCATCAGTACAATAGTTTTTCTCATCTATTTAATTGTTCAAATTACTTCATTGTTTCTCCTGTGAGACCACTATGGTTACACTGAATACATTAGAGTTGGACAGCCATGTTAAAAGGTTCTTGAATAAATATATTATAGCATATATTACCTAGGCCTAAGGATACATTATAATAATCGAGAAAATTTTGTTAATTTAACGTTTGACTTTATCACTAATTTTGAGGGACCTTGGGATTAGTATAAATGGTTAAAGGTTTTTCACTAAACACTTACAGAAAAATAATCTTATGAATTAGTAATGGAGTAAGATGAACTTGTTGAAGAAATCAAAATAAAAATCGTTATATGATAATACACTTGCTCCTAGCTAAATACAGTTTTTCTTATCGTGAAAGATGAAGCAACCGGATAGCAACAAATGAATAAAGTCCTAGTTGAACGTATAAGAGATTGTTTGAGTAGTTTAAATCTAAGAGACCGACCCGCGAGCAATGCAAATGCCAAGACTGAGATGGAGTTAGGCACGGCGTCACCATGAGATGAATACATGTCGGGATTACTATGAAGAATGTTTTAGATATTTCAGAATTTAATACACCAAGTGCGGAAAAAACTTATTCAGTAATAGTAGTCAGGGGTTAATTAAAATAAATCAAAAGAACTAAATGAAAGTTGGATTCTATGGAAAAGTGATGACGTTTTGGTTTTCTCCTTAATATATAGGTAGAGGTCTTATTATGAAAGGTTGGGATGAATATAACCGAGAACTTGGAGATCAAGTTGGTGAAAGATTTAAGCGATGATGAAAGAAGCATGAGACCAGTGTGCCTAGCAGGAGACACAATTAAAGTGCAAATTTCGAGGAAGAAAGTCATTTAAGAGTAGATTGTAATATCTATGAGATTTAAATATCTAAGTGTGTTTTTAGAGCGATAATTGGATAGTGATGATCTCATAAACTATGCACGATTGTGGAGATCGTTGCAGTTATAACTTGTGAGATATATATGAGTCATGTAGTTGCCAAAACATATCTATACATAGTGGGATTTGTCACGCTATGCTTGTCATTTGAGTACTATACATGCAGTCCATGACCGACGAACTACATGGAAAGAGTTATTGACATTTGACATCTGCCATGACAATCAAAAGAGTTATTGAAAACATTTAACTAGAAACTTTTTCTTGCACAATGAAATAGCTTATTAATTCAAATTATCCAAATTACAATGGTGGATGGGGAAACATATGGAGGAGACATGCATTGCATTGCTTCAAATCTATTCAGTTTAGAAACTTCAGAAACCTAAGACAATGAGAGTGTAAATAATTAACTAGTAGCAAAGTATTTAGAAACATCGAACATAAAATAGTGGCAAAATGAAGAAAAGCGTTACATTAGGATATATTTTCTTCATCAACATTGTTCATGGTTCACGTGGATTTGTAATTTGGAATAGGAACATGACCGGACTCAATGTGTTTGAGATCCTCCAACAGTAACTCATAGTGTCTCTTAACTTCCTCAACTGATTTACCACCAACTGCTTTTGCTACATTTTGCCAACGATCCGGAGTATCTTTGTCATATTTTGCAAGTGCTTTTTCAAACAACTTGTTTTGTTTCGGTGTCCAACTTGAAGCCATTGATAATTGAATGATCTAAACAAGAAGGAGAATATAAAAAAAAATAACTTGTTGAGTATGAAAAATGTTGTGATGATTGTTGTGTTTTTAAATTGTTTGAAGATAGTGGGTTGTAGCTAATAAGAGAATCTCAATAGCTAAAAGTTGAAAAACATTGTGGACCTTTTCTACATTGGAACCACAAAATGAAGAAGGACAAAGGTACAACTACATGCCAAGATGAGAGAATCAATTTCCAATGAATCAGGTTCCAGATTTCAATTCTTTTTTCCTATTTTTCATCATATTTTACAACTAAAGTTGCTCACCTTGATTAGCTTCATATTACTATACGTTAAAACTTAAATGCATGCACTTAAATTAAAAATATGTTCAATGTTTAACATGCGTTGATGTCAAACACTAAAACAATATAATTACATATAATATCTATTTATATGAGTCAACAACACATGTGGCACAAGACTGAAAATTTATCATAATTAAATCATAGTTAAATAGGATTTCAAATAAAATATCTTTTCATATGTAAATATAGTACTAATATCTATGTAATTAGGATTAATATCTATGTGGCAGTGTTAATGAAGTGTTAGATGATTAGACAAAGCAAACATCTGAAGTTGGAATAGTCATTATCAAACATCAGTGATGCTATGTGCTGAACTGATAAAAAGTTGATAATAGTATTTTATTTTATTCAGTTCTTAGATTTTTGGAATTGATTTTTGTTTGGATTTTTTCAAGTTATTACTAAATTCCAAAAGGTTATAGCTGGCTATTTGAAACATGTGAATATATTCCAAATTTCATGATATAGAATTGTGAATTATGATACTGTTTAAAACTTTTACTATGATTTAAAAATTTGTATGCATGACCAGAATTTAATTACTGTTGCTGCCCAATTTCCAATCCATCAAAATACCGGCATTTGATAACGGGATTAAAGTTGTTTAATAATCTTAAATGCAAAATATATTCGTGCTTTGAACATATTTTGGCTTTTCATGTTACACAAACTATATTTTGGCTTTTCATGTTACACAAACCATATTTTGCTACATGAATGTATAGGCTGAGTAATCTAAATTATTACAGCTTCATCCTTTGTATACTTCTAACATGTTAATTATTTATTATAAATAGAGTACCAGTTACCGTATTACATGAACCTGAATGTCATCAATGTTCAATGGCTAGTACTTACATAAGATTTCTATTTATTGGTATGAATTGCATGCTTGTAGGGAATCATGACCGTTATATCCTCATTGATGCTGGTATCATGTTTCCTGAGGAATAATTTGAGAACATGATATAATTTCCTGAGTAAGTCCCTTACAAGGCAATAATTTTTACAATGGTCACTATTTTTACCTTTATTAGTAATAATAATTTCCCTTTCCTATTTTTGTTTTAATATATATAAGTTTAAATATGTCAATTAAAACAGGTCCAAAGTCATTGTCAAATTTTTTGTTTATTGTGTAATTTCCCATACTTTTAGTTGATTAAGTAATTTTGGTTATGTATGTGGTGTGAATCGTATGATGTTTCAGTTTTGATGACCTTGAAGTACAAATGATTATAACGGAATTCAGTTATTGCTTTTTCATAAACTAGGTTTTTAGCAGAAATTTAGTGTATGTTGTTACTGGTTATGGTTTTCAGAAGTTGAACAGGATACTATAATCAGATTGATTACTTATTTGTTTTTGGAAGAATTACTCACAAGTACATAAATCACCAGCTGAGTTCTCCTATGTATTTGTTTGTGAGTCATTTGACATATTCGCATGTTTAAAAAAAATTCAAACTTTGAAGCCAAGATAATGAGTAATATGAAGAGCCTATTGAATAAACTTTAATGTCATAGTAATAAGTTTTCATATTAAGTAAGGTAGTAGGAAGATTGAGAACCAATGTAATTTGGAAGGTCAAAAAATTAGTAAGTTATGATAATTTTTATTAGTAGCAGTTATATTCTCTGAATTGTAAAAGTCATTGGGTCTATATAAGGACCAAGAGTGTATTTTATTAAACAAGCAATATAGAAAAGTTTGTCTCTTTCTCAAACAAAATATAAATCGAAGTTTGCTTCTTTATAACAAGTTGGCATTAGAGCTCATGGCAAACATGATGAATCAAATGTCGTTGCCACGGCTAACGAAGTCAAATTATGAAAACTGGAGTATCCAAATGAAAGCTCTTCTTGGATCTCTAGACGCGTGGGATGTGACACATGAAGGGTTTGAAGAACCAACAGAAGTTGGGGATATACGACAGCTCAAACGAGGGCGTTGAAAGAGACGCGATTGAAGGACAAAACGGTATTACATATGTTGTTCAGGGTTGTAGATGAATCATGCTTCAAAAAAATTGTTGGTTCGACTACGTCGAAACAAGCGTGGGACACGTTAGAAAGAGTGTTCAAAGGAGAAGATCGAGTGAAGCAAGTTCGACTCCAAACTCTTCATGGCGAATTAGAGAGGATACAGATGAAGGATATAGAAATTGTATCTGACTACATCACACATGTGCAAAAGGTTGTGAATCAACTCACCAGAAATGGAGAGACAGTAACTGATGCACGAGTTATTGAAAAGATCTTGAGATCTTTAACAGATAAGTTTGAGAATATTGTGTGTGCAATAGAAGAGTCGAAGGACCTTTCGACGCTCTCAGTCGAAGAGCTCGATGGTTTCTCTCGAAGCACATGAACCACGAAAGATGAAAAAGAAAGAAGAAGCAGTCGAAGAAGCAAATCAAATCAAGGAATCGAACAAAGACAAAAATGTACTCTTTTCTCAAAACTTTCGAGGAAGAGGGCATGGACGTGGAGGTTGTGACAGTGGTCGAAGTGGGAGAGGTAGCAACTTCGAAAGAGGACAATCGAGCCAACAAAATTGGTGTGGCAGAGGACGTGGTCAAAGAGGTGCTCGTTCGAATCATTTCAACTTCGAATGCTACAAGTGTGGGAAGTATGATCATTACGCAAAGGATTGCAACTCCTATAAATGTTACAACTGGGACAAAGTGGGACATCTTGCAAAAGACTGTCGAATCGAAAAGAAGATTGAAGAAACAACCAACCTAGCCTTGGAAGCTGAATCGAATGAAGGATTTCTCCTTATGGCTCAAAACGAAATCAACACCAATAATGACAATGTTTGGTATCTTGACTCAGGAGCAAGTAATCACATGTGTGGTTACAAACACATGTTTAAAGATATGAAGATAATTAAATATGGTAATGTGTCTTTTGGAGATGCGTCGAAAGTGAAGATCGAAGGAAATGGCACAATCAGTTACTTGCAGAAGGATGGCTTGATTGGATCAAACGAAGATGTTTACTATGTACCAGATCTCAAGACCAACATATTGAGTCTGTGATAACTTACAGAAAAAGGTGATTCGATACTTATGAAAGATCGAACACTGCATTTGAAGGACAAAGTAGGACATCTGATTGCCGGTGTGGAAATGGAAAGGAATCGAATGTAAAAACTGAACCTGAGGAACGTTTGGGAGAAATGTCAGCAAATCAAAGTGCAAGATAAAGCGTCACTATGGAATATGCGCTTTGGTCATCTACATCATGCTGGTTTGAGAAGGTTGGAGAAAAGGAATACGGTGCATGGACTACCAGACATGAATTTCGAAGGAAAGTTCTGTGAAGAGTGTGTGCTCAACAAACAAACAAGAACCTCATTTCAAAAGAAGGCAGAGTATCAAGCTAAACATATTCTTGAATTGATACATACTCACATATGTGGTTCAATCGCTCCAGAATCCTTCAGTGGAAAAAGGTACTTTATTTATTTTATTGATGACTTCTCAAAAAAAACCTGGGTTTACTTCCTGAAAGAAAAATCTGAAGCATTAGAGGTGTTCAAAAAATTCAAAGTAATGGTGGAGAAGGAAACAGATAGACACATCAAAGCAATTCAATCTGACAGAGAAGGTGAGTATACTTCGATGGCCTTTGTGAAGTACTGTGAAGAACAGGGCATAAGGAGATTCCTAACTGCACCATATTCACCTCAGCAAAATGGTGTGGTTGAAAGGAAGAATCGAACTATTCTTGACATGATTCGATCAATGCTCAAAAGCAAGAACATGTCAAAAGAATTCTGGGAAGAAGCAGTACAATATTCTATTTATGTTCAGAATAGATGTCCACATTCGAAGTTAGAAAACAAAACACCACAAGAAGCATGGAGTGGACAGAAGCTAACAGTCTCTCATCTCAAGGTATTTGGTATTGTAGCTTATGCACATGTACCAGATCAACGAAGAACAAAACTTGAAGACAAAAGTCAGAAGTACATATTCATTGGATATGATGAGAAGACGAAAGGGTACAAGCTCTTCGATCCCATAAGCAAGAAAGTGGTCGTGAGTAGAGATGTTCGAATAAACGAAGCAAGAAAGTGGGACTGGAACAATTTGACAGAGGTTATTGACGCAGTCGAAGAAACAACTGTAGTTGTACCAACAAGTATTCCAACAGAACATGAAGAAACTGAAGATGAAGATGAACTTCTACAACCCAGAATTAGAAGTTTGCAAGATTTATATGATTCAACAAGTGAGGTGTATCTTGTGTGCCTTCTAGAAGATGCTGAAAACATCAGTGTCGAAGAAGCATTACGAGACAAGAAGTGTAAAAGTGCCATGGACGAAGAGATTAGAGCAATCGAATGCAACAACACTTAGGAGCTAGTCGAATTGCCAAAAGATAGTCAACCCATTGGTGTAAAGTGGGTATTCAAGAAAAAGATGAATGCTCAAGGGGAAATCGAAAGATTCAAAGCACAACTGATTGCGAAGGGATACAAACAGAAAGCAGGAATTGACTATGACAAAGTGTTTGCGTCTGTTGCAAGAATGGAGACAATTCGATTACTCATTTCTCAAGCTGCTCAATTCAAATGGTCAATATTTCAAATGGATGTCAAGACAACATTTTTGAATGGTGTGCTCGAAGAAGAAAT